TTTTTTTTTTTTTTTTTTTTGTACTGAGGATCAAACTCAGGAACTTGTGCCTCTGCTTTATTTTGACCCCCTACTTGACTGTTGCTTCATTGGGTGACTGGTAACACTTGTTCCCTTGCTCTCTAAATCTAACTCAGTTCTATTTGTAATGCCCCTTCCCTTGTAGGTCTTATTTACCACTCTTTCTCTGGCCTTACACCCTCTAGCCTACTCCTTTTGCATTGATATCTATGTAGTTCTTCGTTGAGGGAGTTAGAAGGGAGAGAAGAGAGCAGAGCCTGAAGAAGGCAGAGAAGGCAGAGCTGAAGGGTCAGTCCCACATTGCTGGGTCAAATGCCCAGGTGATGAAAACAGTGAAGTTCGGAGATGGGTGTTACCACTCTTTCTCTGGCCTTACACCCTCTAGCCTACTCCTTTTGCATTGATATCTATGTAGTTCTTCGTTGAGGGAGTTAGAAGGGAGAGAAGAGAGCAGAGCCTGAAGAAGGCAGAGAAGGCAGAGCTGAAGGGTCAGTCCCACATTGCTGGGTCAAATGCCCAGGTGATGAAAACAGTGAAGTTCGGAGATGGGTGCTGAGCAAACGAGCAAGTGTGGACAACCAGAGTGACCTGATCGAGCAGGCAGCTGAGATGCTTTATGGATTGATCCACGCTCGCTATATCCTCACCAACCGTGGCATCGCCCAGATGGTGAGGCCTCTCTGCTCCCATTTGATTCCTGAGGCAGTAAGGGAAGCAAAGGTTCCTCAGCAAGAACTCATGCTGCATTCCCACCCAGGAGTCTAGCTGAGAAGAAGGGAAGAACCTTACAGCTGGGCCCTGGAAGTTGAATCCTCATTGGGGTTCATGCTGAGGCAGGTGTTTTCAGGGAGGGAGACAAGATCTTGAACAAGGAGTTGTAGAAGCCACTTGTTCAGGAAACAGATACTGAATGCACTGATGTTCTGTAGCCTGCCAAACAGGAAGAAAGACAGATCTGAGGGCCTGTCTGGGCCAGAGAAGGGGCTTCTGCTCAGAACTGGAGGCAGAGTGATGCGGGTTGGGCTGAGGAGGGAGTTGCCACTTTGTATTTACCCACCAACCCCTTCCATTATGACCTCAGTTGGAAAAGTACCAGCAGGGAGACTTTGGCTACTGTCCCCGTGTGTACTGTGAGAACCAGCCAATGCTTCCCATCGGTGAGTTGAAGGGAGAGGAGGGTACCGCGTGGCAGTCCTCTGAGAAGCTGTGCTTCTGCGGGTTGGTGCCTGAGTCCTTGGGGTAGGTTGAGCAGAGTTGAAGGTATGCGGCCTACAGAGTCTGGCTGTCTCCCAGGCCTTTCAGACATCCCAGGCGAAGCCATGGTGAAGCTCTACTGCCCCAAGTGCATGGATGTGTACACACCCAAGTCCTCAAGGCACCATCATACAGATGGCGCCTATTTCGGCACTGGTTTCCCGCATATGCTCTTCATGGTGCATCCCGAGTACCGGCCCAAGCGACCTGCCAACCAGTTTGTGCCCAGGTATGAAGCAAGACAAAATCTCCAAGGGTCAGAGGGAAGGCCCAGGATTCCCAGGAGAGGAGAGGGGACAGCATGACCTTTCTTGAGGCCTGCTCCTTCCAAAGTCAGGGCTTTGCTACACGTGGTGGTGCGTGCCTATAATCCCAGCACTGAGAGGCTGAGGCAGGAAGATTGCCTTGAGTTCAAGGCCAGCTTGAGCTACATAGGGAGACCCTGTCTTAAAAACAAAACAACCAGTCAGTGCTTCTTCCTGCTGAATAACTGTGGGAAGTTATTTAACTGCCAGTACCTCAGTTTCCTTGTCCATGAAACAATGGTGGTGCTAGGACGTGCCTGGCAGCATCTTTATCCATGTGAATTGTTTAGAATCTCTTGAAATACATTTAAGTAGTAGCTGTTATTGCCACCGTCCCAGGTGCTTAACCTTTTGCCAGGAGATCTCAGAACCTGGGTAATCATGGTTTATCTTTCTGATGTGTTGTTTTTATCTGTACTGGGGAAGAAAGGTTTATAGTGCATTATACTGAATCAAGCAGTGATGTGTATCTCCTAGAATGTGAGTCCTTTTTTTGGGGCTGGTTTCTGTGTGTGTGTGTGTGTGTGTGTGTTATTTGTTTTTGGTACTGGGGATCAAACTAAGGACCTTGCACTTGCGAGGCAGGTGTCGGCACCACTGAGCTACATCCCCAGCCCAGTGTATGTGTGTTTACTGCTGGACACTGAACCTGCAGGCTCATACTCGTTGAGCGTGAGTGAGCATATGCTCTACCACTGAGCTACGCCCTCAGCTCCCTGGCCCCCATTGGGATTTGTTTCATCTCGTTTTGTTTTGTTTGGAGACAGGATCTCACTATGTTGCCCAGGCTAGGCTCAAACCTCTGGGCTCCAGAGTCTCCTGTGTTAGTTTCCCTAGTAGCTGAGACTAGAGGTGCACCCCACCACACCAGCCTGGAATTTGGGTTTTAATGGATATTAAAGTAAGTAAGATACATTTCCTAATATTTACGAACAAATGAATTTGAGGACTGCTGTCCTTAAGCAGTGAGCAAGCCCTTGGAGCTGGAGGTGGGGGTGGCAGGGCCAGGATGGGGCTCACCCTGCTCTCTCTCCAACCTCTGCCCTGGCCTAGGCTCTATGGTTTCAAGATCCATCCAATGGCTTACCAGCTGCAGCTCCAAGCCGCCAGCAACTTCAAGAGCCCGGTCAAGACAATTCGCTGATTCCCTACCCCACCTGCCCTTCACTCTTCGACACCGCCTTTCCTTTGCTGCCACCCTTTCAGGAGCCCTCTCTGGTTTTTAGTTTAAATTAAAGGAGTCATTATTGTGGTGGGAATATGAAATAAAGTGGAAGAAAAGGCCATGAGCTAGTCGGCTGGTGCTTGTGATTGGGGAAGGGAAGGTGGTGGTGTGCTGGACCTCAGGCGCGCTCGAGGCCCAGCCCACCCTCCCCAGGTTGAAAACCAGTGCAGATTGGTTCCCTATGGGCCTGGGTGATGTCCTTAGAGCAGAGCAGAGCTGCATTCCTAGACTGGGTGTGGGAAGGTTTAACCGGAAGAGGCGTCAAACACCAGAGAAGTATTTGTTCTCTCTGGTCACCATGGCTGTTTATACTGCAGCAGGCTTAATCGGTGATACTCTATCTCAGTTTTGGTTTTAAAGGGAGTGTAACCTGAAAGGAGCGGAGGTAAGGGGTGCAGAGAGGTGAGGTCCAGATTGCGGCTCTGTGGTGTCTGTGTGCCCCCTGCTGGGGGAGTTGAGCTGTGCTCATCTCTGAAGGCTGGGTGGGGGCTCTTATCCCTGGCCAAACACTGGGAACTGACTGTGTGGAGAACAGTAGGTGATGCCAGAGACAGAACTACTCCATGGCCCTCAGGGGAGTCAGTAGGTCCTCGGCGGGCATATAGGATAGAAATAGACTCGTGGGTAAGGATTCAGTTGTCCAGGTATCACCCTGTCTGGGCTGCTGCTCCCACACTCAGGAACTAGACCTTGTGGGTGAGGACCTGTTGTCCCTCCTGCCAAGGTAATAACTTCCTCCTCGAGCCAGGATCCTGCCCCAGGCAGGAGTACAGCTCTGCACCTCCGGCAGCTGCTGTTCGGATTGCCTGCCAAAAGCACCCTGAAGCTCAGGATCAAGGAGCATGGTCCGAGGAAGGCGGGGTTTCGGGGCATCTCACAGGAACTGCTTCTCTCCGTGTTCCGTAATGAAGGGCTACGTACTGGTAGACATGCTGGTCGTGGTGGGCTTCGCATTGGGAAAGGGTAAGTGGGGCCCAGGTGCGGGGAGGGAGAGCGAGCAGCTGGGGCCCTGGATGTTCAGGCCTCCTGCGGGCAGGGGACACAGGAGTGACCCACTACCATCTCCCCTTCTGCATTCCCCAGTTCCTGTTCCCGAAGTCCGGACCTGCCACTTCTGCCTCTTAGAAGACCCTACTGTAGGATGCATTTCCGGCTCAGAGAAGTGCACCATCAGCAGCTCATCCCCCTGCATGGTGATCTCCATCTATTATGGTGAGTCAAGTCCCAGGAAGGGCACAGCATGGCTTGGTCTCACAGATGAGGGCTCCTCAGAGCCTGGGTGACAGGAAGAAGACAGCAGAATCCTGGAAGGAGGGGTTGGGAGTGGAGGCGAGCTGAGCACATTATTCTGGTCCTTTCTGAAGGTGCCTAGGATAGAAGTTGGATCTAGGTAAGGGCTTAGGAGTACCAGAGGCAGAAAATCCAGGTTTGAGGACCGTGGGCAGGAGGCTACGGTCAGGGCTTACAGCGGATCCCTTTGCTCTAGAGGTCAGAGTCCGCTTCAACATCCGAGGTTGTGGACAGATCAATTCCTACCGCTGCCAAGAAAAGCGCAACACCTACTTCTCACAGTACTGGTATCAGGCCCAGTGCTGTCAGTACGATTACTGCAACTCCTGGAGCAGTCCCCAGCTCCAGAGCTCCCTGCCTGAGTCCTCCGAGAAGGCCCTGGCCCTGCCTCTGTCCGACACCCAGGTCCACCAGTTGTACCAGGCCCTGAACCTCTCCTTGCCCCTGCCTAGCTTGCGCGCTGGGAAGGAGCCTGAAAGCCTAGACCCCCTGGCCACCCTACGCCTGGGCTTGTCTGTGGCTGACCTGCGCCACATGTACTTGTTCTTCAACAGCTCAGGACTTCTGTATCTACCCAGGGCTGGACCCTGACTCCTTCACCTTCTTACGCCACAGCGTGTTCAGTGCCTGTCACCCCCAGCACCCTGTAGTTCCTTCTCCCTGTGGTCCTGTGGCCTCCTGGGCTTCCCTCCTTAGTACCTCCAGCATCTGTGTGACTTAGGTTTCACACCACCCCCCATCCTGTGCTGCTCTTTCTGCCTCCTAGAAAAACTCAAGTGTAGATTCTGCCTAGGCAGACGAGAGAAGGGCACAGAGGAACCATCATCCAAGTGCTCCATACCCGCTCCACTGGCCACCTGCCACGTCCACTCAGGCCTGGTACTGCATCCCCTAGGCCTGTCTCTGAGACTTGTGCCACACTGACCTTTCAGCAGGAAGGACACCTGTCAGGTTTCCTAGTGTGGCAGCCTGGTGTCCCCGCCTCCAGCCCCGCTCCTGTCCCGGTCTTCGGTGTCCTCAGCCCCGTTTTCCCCGAGTCCTTACCGGCTTACTGAAAGGAGAGGAGAGGGACTGTGGGTTTGCTCCACATCCCCATTTCCCTCCACAATAAACGAGGACTGGCCTAACTCCGTGTCACATTGTCTGTGGGGTCGGGTTCTCATGTGCCCAGGCAGGTGTAGACAGACTGAGAGGTAAGTGTGGGATTCAGACAGGTTTGCAGAACCCTACCCACTCTCCTTGGCATCGTGGCTTCCTCTCACATCTTCCTACCCTCTGCTCAGCTGAAGATCAAAGCACTGGGATTATGACTCCCCAAGCATGGGTGATCCTGCAAAACCTAGAGGGTTAAACCCAGTTGGTGCCAGAGTTTTCACCAAAAGAAATCATTTTCATCCATGTAGATTCAAGCCCAGTGCCAAGGGACCTGGGCTTCTACTGGCCCGGAGTTCCTTCCCAGGATCCTGATGGGAGCCCTCCATGGAAGTCCAGATGGAGGGCGAGCCTGTGCCAAGAGTATACCGGTGGGGCTGCAGCAGCTGGATCTTCACTTGAAGTGTTGTTGAACAATTTTAAGCATACAGAAAGCAGTAATGGATACAAGTCAGCCTCTTTTGTGCACTCAACAAAATACTGCTCTGAGCCAGGTTCTGTTTTAAGCCCCAGGACTCCCAGGTGAGTTCTGCCCTTCCCAGTATTGCAGCCCAGGGCTAGGATTATGGAATCTTTTTCTGAAAAGTGCCACCTTATGGCTGGGCGGCCCAGTCCCAGCTTTCCTGGCACTTGGGTCAGTCTCAGTCATTTTGGTCAACTGCCCAGGAAGGGTAATGCCTCAAAATGGAAGCAGCGCCTGTAATTATGCGTGTCCATGAAAACACGTGCAGTGGCGTGTCCCGTAACCAGGGTATTCGCTTTCTCATGGCGGAGACACAAAACCTGACAGCTAATGGTTTTAGGAGATTCAGTCCACGGCCAGCTGGTTCCAAGGCAGGACCGCCGCCGTGGAGAAAGCTGCTGGGCAGCTGGGAGGCAGAGCAAGGGAAGAACATTAGCCAGGAAATAGGAGGGGCTGCACGTACGGAGCCACACCTCTGTGTGCTGCCCAGAAACAGCCAGACTGTGACTGCTCCGCCAGCCCTCTGTGCTGACACTCCACCTGGACTGCCACAGCCAGTTACTTGGGAGGCAGAGGCGGGAGGATCACAAGTTTGAGGCCAGCCTGGGCAACACAGTAAGACCCTGTCTGAAGAAGGCTGAGGCTAGAGCTCAGTGGTAGAGCACTTGTCTAGCATGCAGCGTGGGTGAGGCGCAGGTTCGGTCATCAGTAGTGGGGGGAAGTTTGCGTTCGTGTGTGTGCACGCAACTGCTAAGTGCACACAGTTGTGGGCCTGCTTGTTTATTAAGCCTCACTGACAAAGCACACCAGTGTTTGTAGCCAGCCCTCCCATCAGCAGGAAGACTTGCACCCAGGCTGCCGGGTGCCCCTTCCAGGCGCTCCTGACTCGGGCCGCCCATCCTCAGAGCAGCTGGACAGTGTCTGTGCTTGGTGGGACGGCAACGCAAGGTACACTTGACCTACACGGCACAGACTTAACAGGCCTACCTCTCACAACTGGTGTTGGGGCAGACACACTAATGCTAACTTCTAGGTCGTGATTTTTAGTCGGAAAGAGGAACAAACTTTTCCCCCTACCCTCACTGGGCCCATATTTCTCCACGATCTCTGACTATAACAGAAAGCCAGGTGCAGGGCTGGGGATTTAGCTCAGCGGCACTGCTCCTGCCTCGCAAGCACAAGGTTCTGAATTCAATCCCCAGTACCACACACACACATATACACAAAGCCAGGTATAGACATATACCTGTAGTTCCAGCATTCTGGAGGGTGAGGCAGGAGAATCACTTGAGCTATATAGCAGGACACTACAAAAAATTTAAAAATTTTTAAAAATAAAAAGGAAGGAGGAAGGAAAATGAACAGTATGCAGTGGTCCATGCCTGTAATCCCATTACTCTGGGAGGCTGAAGCAGGAGGATTCCAAGGCTGAGCCCAGCCTTTCTCACAGGGGAGGGGCGAAAAGGAGAGGAGAGCCAAATCCAGGCCTTTGCAGCTCTGGCAGGCCAAACTGAAAGACAGCCTGAGGCTGAAGGACCTCCCTCCAGTCACCACCCAGCTGTGGTCTGACTTGTCTCAGGGTCCCCGATGACCTCCGAACTGGGTCAGGAGCAGAAGTGGGAGCCCCTGGACTGTCCCTGTGGTAAGGCAGGCCGGCAGGCTCACCTCCAGCCTCTCCCTGCCAGGAAAGACAAACGGAACACTTTGCAGATTGGTTTATTTTGGAGGAAAAACTGGGGACTTCAGGCAAGAAAGGGAGTCCAGGGGCAGAGTGGGACTAGAGAGGGTGAGGTATCTGCTGAGGCCAGGCTGGGCCAGGGACTCGCAGGAGGCAGGGATGAAGGGCTGGGACTGGGGACCGGAAGTCCCCTTGAGAGCCCAAGTAGCAATCAGAACAGAGGAGATGGACAGGGTTTACTGTGGTCCTATTGAATGTAGGACTCTCTGTTTTGAGGGTTGTTACAGAAATTCACGAAGCAGCAGTGAGAAAATACCCAGAAGCCGAACACAGGAGCAGGCCAGGTGTAGGAACAATCCTTCATCTTCTCCCTGCTGCGGCAGTCACTCACCATGACGTCAGAGCCACTGCCTAGGGAGGGACCACAGGCACCAGTGACAAGGGCGTCCCCACCTCCGCCCCTACCGCAGAGTCCCCAGGCTGTCCTCCCTTCCCGCCACACACATGTACCATTAGAAGCCTCGCCCTGCCCGGGCAACAGAAAAGACTCCCAGAACTGGGCAGGAGTTGGGAGTCCCAGTGTGTCCCCAGGGAGCTGCAGGGAAAAAGCCACTGCAGATGTGTCCACACCGGAGGGGGACTGAGTTGGGACCTGGGGAGTGAGGAAGGGAGGACCAGCACCATGGGCCCAGGTAGGAAAAAACTAAGGAAATTATCATATCGGGGTGGCCTGCCAAAAGGAAGCGGCCATCATCGATTGCTGGTGGGGAAGATCTTTGTGCGCGTGTTCCAAGAAGCCGTACACAGGCCCTTCGCTGCTGCCCAGCTTGAGGGAGTGAAATATTAGCACGTAAGTGCCCATCGGCTGAGGGATGGAGATCAGCTCAGGTGCCCGTGCCACAGAACGCTGCGCAGCAGGGCGACAAGGGAGGAAGCTGTTCACAGGCTGAGAAGGGAAAAGGATGTCTGTAGTATCGAACATGCCGATGTCTGGGCGAACAGAGGTAAAAGAGGAAGCACTGTGTTTGCATAGCATGCGCCTTGCTAATGTGAAGGGACAGGACTGGGTGGAACAGCAGGTGAGAAAGGAGAGAACGTGGTCCACTGTCAGCACGTTGAATCCAGTGGGCAACTGGGCATGAGGACAGCGGCCGTGCTGGCCTGACATCACGAGCCGGAAGAAAGCAGTCTGCGGGTATTGGTGGACATCGAGAAAGCAGGTGAAACCCTCGGGAGAAGCTGTAGAGTAAGACAGCGAAGACCAAACCTTGGTGAACATGACCATCCAGGGTCAGGGAGGATAAGGCAAGACCCAGGAGAGGAGTCCTGGAAGCGTCGAAGGGTGACACCAGCACAGTGACAACTGTGCTGACCGCTGAGGAGCAGGCGGCACTCTGGAGGTCCCCAGAGTTCCTTCTGAGGCCGGGTGCCTGTGAGCCGAGCGCGGGAGTGAGGGAAGTGGGGACAGGAAGTGGCTTGGAAGGAAAGTGACAGAAAAACCCCAGTCCTGGGAACAGGACTCCATGCAGCTTAGGGGGTTAGGAGAGGCTCGGTTCAGGACAGGGCTGGGCTGTGGCAGGAGATGGCAGCTTAGTATTTCCTGGTTGGTTTGTGTGTTTGACGGATGCTGGTGCCCGAACCAAGGACGTGCCATCCCGCCCTGCCCCGCCAGCTTACCATTCCTGATGTGCAGAGTGATGCAGCTGCTGCCTGCAGGCACCAGGCAGATGTCAGACCCCAGCAGGCACCCCAACTCCTTGGTCTCAAAGAGGCATCGGTAGCAGCGCAGGTATTTGGGGAGCGGAGGTGGTTGGGGGGGTTCTGGTTGGGGAGAATGATCTTACCTAGGGCACAGGAGCAAAACCCTGAGCCCCTCGGGCCGATTCTGGGCTGCTGCACCTCAGTGCTCCCCACACCTCCAAAAACCAAACAGCCCTGATTCCTTTTTTTTGTAGCAGGGATCTTATTTGAGACCTTGTGCTTGCCAGGCAAAGCAGTGGCACCACTGAGTTAAATCCCAGGCCCAAGTCCTGATTCCTTAAAGCCTGGCCTGATACACCTGAAGCTTTTGTCCTCGTGAAAGTTTCCACTCTCTGCTCTCCTACTCCAGAGACGAGAACTTCCTAGTTCACTCATTCTTTCTTCAACATGTACTCAGACAGCTGACATTGCCCTGTACTCTTCAAGCTCTGGATTCATGGGGGAGGCTGAAGCAGTCCTTCCTCTCAGACATGGTTCCCTAGACCCTTCTGATTAGTCCTTCTTGGCCTTTTTATTATTTTGAGCCACAGGGTCTCATTATGTAGCTCAGGCTCCTGCCTCAGCTTCCTGAGTGCTGGGATCACAGGTGTGCAAAACCACACCCAGCTTGGTCCTGTGTTCTTAATCCGTAATGTTCAGAAGTGAAAGCAAGAGCACTTCACGGGGCAGGGACTCTGTCAGTGCAGACAGAGATTTCAAGCAGCCCTTGCCAGTGCTTTTATCTGGGTGGTGCCGTCACTGGATGTGCCCGTATGAAAGTTTGCCCCCAAAGTGCCCATTCTCTGCTTCTTTTCCCAGTTATGTGTGTCCCCGCCCCTTCTTCCTGTCATTGGCCCAGACTCCACGTTAATGAGTCCCAGACCCAGCAGAGCAGAGGCAAGTGCTCAAAGAAAACACTTGGAAGGAACCTTGCTTTTCAGTAGATGCTGCTTTGCAGCCCAGTGAGGCTAGCAGGGTGGGCTCAGCACTGCTCCCCGTGCGTGAGTATCGCCAGCCCTCCCTGTTCCTTGGTTCTCAGCTGCAGAGGATCCCTTCAGTGGCTGCTCAGGTCAGGCTGCTGAGCGCGACAGCTCTGGGCGTGACCCTCAATCTGTTAGTGGCCCCAGGCCTCTCCCCCAGCAGACGGGCCTGTTGTGTCCCAGGGTCCCTGCCAACAGGGTAACCGTGCTTGCCCGGGGGTGAGTTTCTCCTGGAGCTGGAGCCGGCCAGCAGACCCTTCTGAGCACTGGAGCCACTTACCGAGCACCACGCTGGCCGTCGCCAGCACCAACAGGAGCATCTTGTGCAGGACTCCCTGGTCAGCCTGTCTCACAATGCCACTGGTCCGGGGTTATATGGGTGGGAGAGAGACTGGCCAAGAGGAAGGAAAGAGGCAGCACACCTGGGGAGGAAGTCACTGCCAGCACAGCCACAGGGTCACGGTGTCCCCACCCACGGCCTGGGCTCTCACATCTTGGCTTGGGGCCGGGACCAAGCGACAGAGGAATGAAACGAAGACGTTTCTGTTACCCCCACTCAGCAAACCTTTACTGGATCACGTTTTGGGGTACAAGTGTGCCAAGTCCCTCACCGAACAGAGGGAGCCCCTGGCCAGAGGACTTTCATTAGAGAGCAACGCGACATGGGTTTGAAAGACTGGCATTGCACACTGGAGATTGTAGGGGTTTAGAGTGGAGGCCATAAACTAGGAGTGGTAACACAACCTGTAATTCCAGCATTCTGGGAGGCTGAGGCAGGAGTTTCCCAGCGTGGACAAATTAGGGACTTAGGGGATCCTGCCTTTAAAGAAAAAAAAAAAAAGGGCTGAGGACGTAGCTCAGCGCAAAGGCCCTGGGTTCAACCCTCAGCCCCGGGAGGGCGTGGGTAGGACGCTATTCCCGAACCCGGGCGCCAGATGGCGGTCTGGGCTCGCTGAAGAGAGGTAGGGGCGCCGAGGCGTGGGAAAGAACCCGGGCCAGTGTAGAACAAATCGGACTCGGCGTCAGACCCGACGTGGGGTGAAGGAAGGGAGGCGGGCTTGTACGGGGAGGTGACCGGTGGTATAGTTTTCCAAGCCAGGAAGGGCGCAGCCAAAAGCGAGGACACCGAGATCCCGCGGGCCCTTGGGTGGGGACCCCAGCGCGCTCTCTGCATCCCCCCTTGCTCCAGCGGACGCCCATGCCCGGCGTTGCTTCGCCCCACTGAGCTGCGCCCCGGACCGTGTCCGCCCGCGCACTGCA